ACAGGTGACGAAACTTCAACACTGGAATGAAAATCTGTTACATCAACACCTCCCCCGTTTGATGTGGAATGATTTTTGGGCGAATTATTGAGAATGGGCTCTTGTTTTTTGCCCTTTTTATTGTTGGCCTTGTCATCTGTACTTTTTTGACTTGCCGTGCTATTTTGCCGGGTGTAGTTCGATTTCTTGGAGTTAGCTTCCTGGTTGGATTTCTTGTTTTGCTCGACTGGTTCTTGTTGCTGATTATTTTTTGACTTGTTGCCTTTCCGTTTCCTATTGCTGATCTTGTTCCTTAATGATGTCATGTTTTTATTCCGCACATCCGTGGCAGAAGCTTCGGCCCACATCGTTAAAATTATCCGCGAATGATTCGCATCTGAATTCGCGATTATCGATACGGAAAACGCACAATGCACAACAAACACGACCAAAACTATTCATTCGATCGCGTTATGCGCAAATGCAAAACGTTATTGGGAAAGCCGAATTTTCAGTTCACTTACACCGCACGTGTAATAAATCAACATTTACATACATACATACATTTACATATATGTATATGTATTAAGTAGTTGTTACTATGTAACCGCCAGGAATAACAAAAAAACACCTGAGTCTGGAACAAACCGAATTTATTTATTGTCGAATTGCACTTCGAAATTGCATACGGATGCACTGCGAAATTTGAGCACCTTCGCAATCGATACAAATGCTAACGAAGCCTTTTTTGCGGTTAAAAAATAAAACAACAACGACCCTTTGGGATCGTTATTAGTGGATAACACTGTGGAATCACACTGTATGAAATAGTCTTAAGGCACTTAGTTGACCCGCAATAATCGACGTGCAGGTACCGAAGCCGGCAGGTATTTGAGGGGAGAACACAAGAAGGGTCGCGACAACAAAAGCTCACTGCACTTGTTCCGGCTAGGAGAGAATCTAAGAAGAAAACGCAAGTACAGGAATAATATCGCAGCTTTGGCTGTTGTCGTATGTCCTGGCCGTAAAAACACACTACCGCTTGCCTCGGCTCCGCGATTCTAGAGACGATAACAATTAAACTAATAAAAATAGATGATAAGCAGGCTCTATTGTCGCGTTTAACAAACTCAACTAAACTAAACGAACGGATCGTGGAGTGTGGAGTGTAGCGAAGTGAGTGAGTGCCTTGCTTGCTTAGTCATATTTACGGTCAACGTTGCCTGGATCTGCTCGTGCTGTGCTACAACAACGACATAATGCTAGAAAGAGAAAGTAAGAGTAGTAGAGTTGAACTGAACGATTTGCGCCTTCCTCATGTGGCCATGGACGACACACAGCAGAGGCAGTTGTTTGGGTTCGAGGTCCTTTCTGAGCTCTCGTACGTCGCGAATGCCTTCGTACAAGATCGTTTTGTACAATACAACGCGCGCCATTTTCAAAGGACCATCGGAATTATCTTCGTCAAAAGATGACCTTTGAACCTTACACTTCATTCCGATGTAGAAATCCATTTTAACGAGGACTTCCAGCGAAAGGATTCCGTCCAGGAATCCAGGATCCCAAAATTGAGCTTTTACTCCTCCGGTTCATTCTGCGTTACAAATCCACTTTTACGAAGACTTCCAGCAAAGGATTTCGCGAAGAAAATAAAATTTAATTATTTTGTTTCATTATTAACCAAGCCTTCTTCCAACAATTATTTATTAAACAGATGAATCGAATATCAAATATTAAATAAATTCAATTTAGTCGGCCGTCTATCTGATAACGGTATCGGTTAATATGTATTTGTTTGTTTAGTTATNCTTGTGTTTTTGAATGTTTTGGAAAGATCATAATATTTCGTACAGAAATTGTAGTTAAAATTTTGAGTAATTCCTCCCAACAACATCCATGAGTTTGTACTTCATCTTACGTTAATAGAAACTATCGTATTTATAAATAAATAAACATTAGGCACGATGATACTTTTCTACAATTACGGGCAAATTGTGTTTGGCTTTCGGTCTATTTTTGTGAGCAATAATGGTTCAAAAGGACATGAAACGGAAACTACAGTTGACAGTTTCATGTTGCGTAAATAAGTCCAAAGGTAAGCAAAGTACGAAATCCTTTCCCTTCCCCTCTCTACTCCATTCGACGCAAAAATTGATTTTAGCTCAAAACCTTGAAAAACTGAATTTCGCAAATAATAAAGAATAGTATTTTTTTCCTGTAGCCGAATCCGCATTTTCTGATGTGATTTTTCCTGATTAGGTAAATTCACTGGCTTAATCCGTACGGTGGCTATACATGCTCTAAAATGATATCACTCTCGTTATTAACACAAATTAATCAATGACGTAAAACCTCATTAGTTACGACAGATGATAAAATGTCTACGTTTTAGACAAGAAGTATGACTTTTATTTTTGTCCAGTTACTTACTAACTTACTTACTAAAACTGAATACATTAACTAAAAATATTATTAACAAAATACATAGTGTATTTAGTTGTAATTTAAAAATTTTTTTATTAGTCTTCATGGACATGTTGATAAGTGAGTCTTCAGTATTTTGTTTATGAACATCAAACAAATGACAAGTATGTAAAGAAAAATTGTTTTCTATCTTTACAAGCAATATCTGTAGTATAATTAGATTCAGTTGGTAACAACTGCACTGAATTAATGAATTATTAATCAAAGGTCTGTAATTAATCTTTTGATTTTTTCGTCGACCCAATTGCCTCTATGACTAATATCGTTTTGTAATGGACTGCAATCCACGATGCATTCCATCACGTCCCATAATAAACCCGTTATGGTACCACAATATATTGAACAGGTGATGTATTTTATAGAAAAGCAATACACTCCCAAGCACCGACATACGACAGCCATATCATATGGTTCACATATATTCCAATAATTTTTAAAGACGAAGTAAATTAGGTAACAACACACCTATGGATACAAGAAACAAAACTTCTAGATTTCTGTACTAGTACGAAAGGATTGCCATTAGTATATATGCATAGTATGTTGTAATATAACGCTGATGTTAACAGTACTATGCATTTAATCATTGTGTTATCTAGACACAACCGGATGAACATTATCACATGTATAATAATAAAAGAAATGACGATAACTAGTGGCAATCAACAGCAAAAAAAATTACTTACTGTTAATAAAGTCATATGTATGAAACTGAAACATTAAGCATCACTTCTTATTTATTTCTATCATATGGAGGAGAAAAAGAAGTCTTATTTTTTAGTACCTGCCAATGTCATGATGATCAGTTGAATAGTTAAGGCGTGAAATAGTACCAAACGAACTCACATTCGCATCTATAAAATTAGTAACGATTACACGGAAGGTGAATAGTTATGAGTTGTACTGAAATTAATTACACCTCATAAAGTGTCTGATTTATACATATAATAATTCAGTTAATCGCACTGTTTTTTATTATAACTACTCGCTATTAGTCTTTTCCATAGTGACCCGGTAGAGTCAGTTGAAGAGCGTGATAAAAGCATTAGTGGAAGTGTGAAGAACAGTAGTTTGCGAAAACGGAATTATTAACGTAGGCGCGTTGTAACAAGAACACATCGAATAATTAAGTCAAGCACACGCAAAACTGGTCCGTACATATGTTCATAAATACATTTAGCAATAGTGGAGACAAGCAGAAAAATGAACACCCGTTGCGTGTTGTAGCAATTTCCAGTTTGTTATTATTGCGGCAGAAGACGACAACATCAAAACTGACAAGAGAGTGAAACACACTGACCCAATTTTCCCGAAATACCAGAGCACAAGTGACACACAGGCATTTTGCATTTTTGTAAACCCCACGCACATAAACAACTGTCCAAGAAACAAGGTAAAGGATAAGACGCCGTAAGTAATTGTAGCTGCCCTAGACAAAAATTTTCAGTCTCTCTCCAGTCTCTCAGAGTCTCTGAGAGCGTCTCTTACAATCTCTCAGTTACTGCCGAGGTATTTTTATAGATCTCTCACACTGTCTGTATGAGAGACTCGAACGATAAAATTGTTAATTCAGAGATTCGAGTCTCCCACAGAAAGACTGAAAAGTTGAGAGACTCGAGTCTCTCGTTCAGAGACTGGATACAAAATGAGGATCTCTCTATGAAGCGACTCGAGTCTCTCGTTCAAAGACGCTAAATAGTTTTTTTGACAGTCTCTCGATAGTCTCTCTCAGCGACACCAAGAGACTCGATGAGAGACGGAGACTCGAGTCTCGCTTTCAGAGATTCTGAGACTGAACATTTTTATCTCGGGTGGCCGATGATGATATGGGCACTAGGTATGCTGGAACTTTTTGAAAATCGATAGGTGCATTTTTGTGTATCGTTGGAAAAGATTTTTTTTTCCATGGCATTCCATGTATCACGAAAGTGCGGCTTTTGACTTTAGCCAAAACTGACCTTATATTGATATAAATCTACCCTTATCCTAGTTTAAAAGTATTGGTGGGACCGCGATCATCTAGATGATCAAAGGTGATACTTCCGTAACACAGAAAACCGACCTTCTCTAGCTTTACACAACTTGTACGCATCGATTTTCAAAATATTCTAGCACTTTTAGTACATCACCACCATGGGTCTTACATTGAACCCATTTCCAGCCTTCATTCAACCACAACAATTGCCGATGGTGTCTTACCCTTTAAAATAGATTTTAATGTAATAAGCGGTGTCATGTCTTACATACAAGAATTTCTGAATTAATTACAGGAACTCGTACTTGTGGCAATCATAAAACCAAATATGTAGGTAATTCATAATGGAATCAAAAAAATAATACCTTCATCTTGTAACGACTATACGATTTTAGGGTGGTAATCGTTTATAAGTCAGGATAATTTAGAGGGTCTAGTTCCTTTAGAAATTCCGTTACTTAATTTTTAATAAACAGAGCATCAATGTATGTACATACTTCAATTATCATAAAGAGAATAATGCAATAAACAGCAAATAGGACCATTTCTGAAACTAACATACCTGTCAACATTGGCATTTTCGACGTCATGGTCGTTGTGGTTCTGGTGTTCAGATCCGGACTTGGAACTTTCTTCTCGTACCGAGTCCGGTCTTCTATCTGAACTAGACCTCGACACTGGTTGACCAGGCTTTGTTTCTCCTGAAACAACAAAAACAAAAACAACATGAGCAAACGAGTCACGTCCGGTAGTAGAAAATCATAAATTTTCCGCACGAATACTTCCCTGCTTATATTACATTTTGCGGTTATACGTACCGAAGTACTTTTAATAAACCTTCATAACCATGATGATAATACCATATTTCACACATCTATTAAGTAAGTGCCGAATAGAATCGAAGGTGCGAAGGTTAGGTGTACTATTTATAAATACTTGGGTGCATAAAACAGAAATAAAAATGGTGGAACGGGACGTTAGAATCGTGGAAATTATTATAACGAACGGGCAGACTTCCAGAGTATCGAAACGAATTTCAAAAGAAAAAACAAACACATCCTCTAGCAGATGGTCTGTCGTCTGAAACCAAAAATAGCTCGGGATACTGGAAGAATAAAAAAAGTGGTGAAAGAATAATTAAAGGCGACGCTGCCACTCCTCCTGCTAGGACCACATATCCCATAGGAACAAGGAATACACGTCCACACGTTGTACGTCTGTTATTATGAAACTCAGGGATCGTAGGTGGATTGTACATGTGTGCAAAATAAAAGTGCATCTGACATAAGCTCAAGTAAGGCTTTGAATATACACATGCATAGAAATACGAAAGTGCATTATTTCTGACTGTAACGTACTTCAATCATACTTCAACTACCTATATTATTATTACATTTTATGAATCAATCTACAAACATGGATGATTCGTCCAATTACTTATCACTTATTGATTATGATTGAATCGTATCGAGAACGAAAACTAACAACTTAAAATACAGAGATATAAGAACTCGAAATTCAAACGTTTAAACACTGAAAAATATCAGATAAAGAAAATATTACGTATTTTATTCAATGCGCCTACAATACGGCCAGTTTTGTCCCAATTTCCACTTGATTTGTAATTCTTCATTCATGAAGAAGTATTTTTAAGTTTCGACAACTTCGATTTCCCAAGGAGGAAATTTAGACTGGGAAATGACGCTGTACGCATTATTAGTTACTCCTTAAATTTTCTAGAAATAGAATTTCCACCGATATGAAACCTTATTATATTACAATTTCGTATGACCCATCTAAACCACGTTAACCAAACATAAAAATTGTAAGACTTCGTCTTTTTTCAACAGACTGGCAACCCCATAAATATTTAACAAGGTTTTGTCTCTCTATTTAAATAAAAACAATTAACAAGACGAATTTCACTTCCGCCCAACCTCCTACCAGAATAGTCAGGATTCCAGGTCCGTAATCAGGCGACATTTAAATAACTAACGTAATAACATTATAACTACGTCCTTTTTAGTTTACCGGCCCACGCCCGCGGCTTTCATGCGCCCACGAGAATTGTTTGCATGGGAACTTTCCAACAACAAATCCCGCGTATTTATTAGCCGTTTTAATTCCCGGTAATACAAGCAAACACCTGTACATCTATTAAAACCAAAGAGACATAAGAATAGATTTTTTACTTGTTTTGAATTTTGAAACTAGTTACATCTTACGGTTACATCTTTTATAAAAGTCGCCTTGGCACAAGCCAATAGTACTCAAAAGATGCTGATACGTTGAAAAATAACACGGAATCCTTTTCTATTCAAAAGATGCCGATACAACAAGGGGATTCAGTGGTACACGCGCTAAAGAGTAAAAACATACTTATCGGTTCTAGATATCATGAGTTCAATATTTAAAACAGAGGTTTGAAATTTTGTAGTAAGATAGATAAAGCTTTGTTCTAAAGCTTGTCGAAGGGCATATCTTAATTTTTTAATTTCTATTGAAAATACGTGTCCTATCTTCCTATCAGAAACATCAACTTTAAGCACTTGTAAATGCTTGTCATGATCATATTATTGGAAATCAAAAACGTACCGAGTTAGTGTGAACCTTTGTTACCCTACAAAAAAATTAGATATCTCGCAGCATTAGATTAAAATGTTTAGAATAGAAACCCATGTTTTCGGAAAAATTCACACTAGGCACGAGCGATCTACGAGGGTGGATTGATAAGTTTCCGGCCTGACCAAGAAAAACAAGGTTTTTAAAAATTTTTTTTTTTTATTTCTCAACATAATCTCCTCCAAGGCTGATACATTTCTCATAGCGGTGTTCCAGTCTATTAATGCCATCTCTATAGACTGATTCGTCAAGCTCCTCAAAATAACCATTTACAGCTTCGATTACTTCTTCATTGTCCGCAAATCTCT